ACCGCGATTGTGAGCCAGTAACGCTCATTAAAAAAACGCAAGAAACGCGTTTTTTGCGTTTTTTTAATGAGCGTTACTGGCTCACAATCGCGGTTCCCTTTTGAGCGTTTAAACGCGTTTTTCCAAATGTTTGTCTGCTTGGGTACTTAGCAATCAGTCAAGTATGTTCATCTCAAAAAATTCATAATTAAAGATAGGTAACAATGGTCTCTACGGCAGTTTGTTATATCACCCAGCGGTTTAATATCATCGGTTTTTCACTTCTCTCATTGTCTTTTAGAAAATTTATCTACAGTGTAGTAGCACTTTACAAAAACGAATGTCGAATCAACATTGCCTTTGTTTATTATATTCAATTGTAATTATTGGTTTATTAATAAGAAATGATGGTATTGAATGTTATACAGTTAAAATGCCGACTGATCTTGTTCTCAACTATTCTATGAATGGTAATACAGGTACACATAATCAAAGTAGTCGTAAGTATTGTATTATTGACAGAAGAGTTTTTTTCGCATGACTGGAAAGATATTGGTCTAGGAATACAATTGTTTGTTTGTCTGTCGCACTTTGTAAGCTAATTTGAGATAAAACTATCTTATATACGTTTGAAAAGAAAGGAGAAGATCGTCAATTTGATGTTTAAAGTTCTTTATTGCACACGTCTGGCGAACTAAATCTTTTAAAATACTTTTCTCAGGGTGCGCCTCGGCTCTACTAGGGACATCATTTTCATCGCATAGAAAAAAAGAACTTTCGTCACACTGATAACAGAGAACTACTTGCATCTGGACTGCTGCAGTTGAACGACTCCAACGAAACAGACGCTTGATTTTGATACTTTGACTTTTTTTAAACTTTAAAAGTATGTCTACATTGTTGATTGATCTCGTGCTATACGTTTTAGGTCTCCCAGATTTCCCAGGTAAATCCTATGACATGTTTTCTGTTGTCTAAGGGTATTATCTATCGAAATAGCTGAGAATCGTTGTACAAAAGCCGCATCAGACAGTGCTCAATCACTATTTTAGAATTCGTTTCCTAACGATGTTCATTTCACAGAACGTATTGAGAAATCAAAAAAGCTAAAAACTGCAGCTTTGTTAGTCAGGTTTTTGTTTCCAGGTTGAGTTAGAAACCGTTTTGAATGTCCTCCATGTAATGACATCTTTGGATACTTTGTTATTTCAAATCTTTGGATTTAAACCTCGGTTTTTTCAAGGAAAATTCATCGACTTCAAATTATGAATGTCGTTCATGAACGTTTCACTTACTAGAACGCTTGACTAGACAACTGAAAAAAAACTCTATTCAATAAAATTTGACTCAACTTGAACTCAATTCAAGGAAACTCGAGATTGTTTAAATTACAAAATCCAATTTTTTTTTGGAGTTAGTTTTATACGAGTTAAAAACGAGGAGAAAAAGTTTTTATACGAGACTTTTTAAAAAAAGTATCAGTTTTTACATCTTTTCTTATTATGCTTCTAAAAGCTGAAGACATTTGACATAAAATCACCATTGTTGTTGAAACAAAAAGAAACGCTTACGTTATGGGCTAATGTATTGTTACCGTTTCAAACCTGTTTATACGACGAGTGAGGCTGAAGGGAATAATATTTTATCAAGCGCAAATTGGAGTGTAGGGCTAACGAGGTAAGGATACCAACTGTCAAATCGTTTTGCCAAAACGATGTTGTTGTTGTATGTTTTCAATTCCGGGAATTGAAAACATACATTTTTAGAGGATATCGAGGATACTGACTTTGAATCAAAACTTTGTGCATTTTGTGAGCTTTTGGGAACTGTGGAAATCCGACCTTTAGAGACTTCATTTCCACAATGAGACAATATTTTTTGTGTGTTGTTAGTCATCTTATAGACCATCGAAAACCGAGCATGTTCCCAAAATTTTAGGCTTCGGTGAGTATCCTGAAGCGAGATATTATTATAACAAACTCTTGGACAACCTAAAAACTGGTGTTAGGACTTCTACAAAAACTGTAGAAGTGAGGGGTGAGGGTGAGGGTCTACAAAAACTGTAGAAGTCGCCTATAAAGAATTGAGTTGCGGAACATCGCATTTTATAGAGTTATGTTTGAACTACAATCCCATATAAGTAGGAAAATTTTAAAATTATCTATGATACAAATATGAGCATTGTAAAATGCAGTAAATTCAGGAAAAAAAAACTTTTAATAGCATTTTCTTCTAAGTTTAGTGCATTTTAGAATGTTCACATTTTTGTTAGAAGTAACTTCAAATTTTTTTCATAGTTGATGTTTGACCAGCAAACATTTCTCAACAAACGGAGATGTTCCGCGACTCTGAGTAATTCTTTATAGACGACTTATAACAATTTTCATGGAAGCTCTAATACCAGTTTTTAACTGACGGATGCCTAGTATATACAGGTTCGATTTCCAGAAGATCATCTCAGAGACTCATCAAAAGTATTAGCTAACTTCCGATTCGTAGTTAACATCATTGGTAATTCATAATAATTTATATCGGGGTAATCCAAATAAAAGTAATGTTTTTCTCGGAATTCGCTGTTGGAACAAAATTTCTATTCGATTATATATTTCGTAGATACTCGTATATTTGACACTATTAGAATTTTGAAAAGCGCATTTCCAATATTTTTTTAGCAAAAATTCGACTAAATAAGATGTCGAATGTGCTTTGCTTGTAACTAAGTAATTTCGACATTCGCCAAAAAGAATCGTCTGACAGAATGAATGTTCACTGTCTTCATTTGACAGTCTAATGATGGTATTTTAGCTAGAATCGTAAATATCAATTAAACGAAATTTTTGATCTACAGGCAGTTCTTTACTTCTTATTTTCTATCTTAATATTTATTTTATCTCTATAGACGAACGTACACTTACTGAGCCTTCTATTGACAGCGATTTTGAAGTATTTGGATTGAATCTATATCGTGAATTAACTAAATTAAAACCTAAAGAAAACATATTTCTCTCGCCAGCTAGTATTGCAATTGCACTAAGCATGACTACAGCTGGTACCAATGGTACAACATTAAAACAACTGATGTCAGTATTAAATGTTCAAACAATTGGTGATATGAATGTACGAGCACATAAAATTGCTTCTTTAATAAACTTGAGTGATAGCAAAGAAATGAAATTAAAATTAGCGAATAATATTTTTATTCAAATTCATTATAATATTTCACAAAACTATAAAAAATTATTAGAAGATGAATATTTATCATCAATAACAGCCATTGACTATGAAAATAAACCGGATGAATCAAGAAATGAAATTAATCAATGGGTTGAACAACAGACGAATAGTTTAATAAAAGATTTAATATCGCCAACTGACATTACATCGGCTACAAAATTTATACTCGTTAATTGTATTTATTTTAAAGGTAAGCTTAGTTGAACCACCAAAGTAGAGACCTCTACGGAGTGCCTTTCTGATATCATAGAAACTGCGTGGGACTTTTCGGCTATAAGATTCGATGTAATCTAAGCGACATAGATCATCAAAAAATTTCAAAGAATTTTAAGATACTGGTAGCTTGTAGAACAACATATAGTTACGATTTCAGTGATTCCTAATAGCTATAGTAGAACCACATTTTGGACATAAAATGTCAAAATTTTCAACTCGCTCTCCATTTCCTGATCTTCAATCCGTGATAGTCTTGGATGAAAAATAAAAATACTAGTAAGTTGGCAAAAGAGAGCCACTTGAACTATTCGCTCAAAAAACTATGAATATATACCCAGCAATTAGTTCAATTCTTAAAAGTGAATTTCTAAGATAGTAGAACAAACTGATTGGAAAGATATTGTAAATCTGGTTGATTATTTTCATTTGTTGTAGAGTAAGATAGATTGAGTAAAACCTAAACATTTCAGATCTTTATGCGTTATATTTCTCGTGCTTTGGCAGATCAGAAGTTAGAAATGATATATACTCATCCAAAAATCAACAACAAGGATTATTTTTTTAATGAATAATCCGTTTGGCCAGTTGATATGTAAAATAAATAGAGAACTGAATTCTACACTTAGGAATAAGACAAAGAATGTTTTTCGATGTTTACTGTGATCAGACATGTTATATAGGCAATAATCGATATGTGCAACTTTTCTCCAAGCACAAAGTGATTTTTTTAAGAAATTATTTTTTCAAACTGATCTGGTCGTGTTTATTCGTATTTTCTGAAAATATCTTTTATGGTCAACATACGAGGCCGCCGAAAACTGTTTTCGCAGTTTTGACGATCAAACGTGCTTATGGTTGCCGATTTTATCTTATGATAAATGTTTTTATTCGAAATAAATAATGTCATCGTGTGAATCAACATCGAATTTTGAATCGAATGAGGTATCTCGGTACTTAGATAGCAACAGAAAATGTTTTGGCTCTTTGGTGTTATACCTTGAGCATGTCTATATTGAAAAAAATGAGAAATGCTCTTAGACACCATTTTTGATACTCATTCGATCGAAAGTTCGATGCTGATTCACATGATGACATTCAGTGTGGAGACATACCGCGATCGAGATATCTCTTTTACAGCAAAATATTTTATATCCCGAACGAGATATAGTTTGAAATTATGTCTCAATCGAGGTATAATCCGATATCCCAATCAGAATATCAAAATCTTACTTTCCCTCTAACATGTTTTTCATCAAATCTAATTGGTACAAAAGGGGTGTTACCGTGCCAACAAAATATGAATATAAATGTCACAACGGCTGGAATGATGATGTTCTTTTGGCATCTTCAAAAATGGCGGCTTCACGACTGTTACACGTTTTAAAAGATGGAAAATTCGCCGTTAAGGCTTCGGCCTGTCAAAAAATGGCAATTTTGGTCCAAAATACCTATTTTGAGATTCATAGTTAGATAGTCCTAACTGTCTACTTTCGAATGCACTATGGTTTGTTGGTTTTACGATGGTTTTTGAGGGGTTTACAGATATCTTTCTGAAATACTCAAAATCAGAAAAAATATCTGTTTTGCAAATTTCAGCCACTAGAAAAGTATCTCGCACGTATTTCTGCATGTGTTCATTCGATTCACCATAGTCGATACCCTCTGACGAACTATTCTCAGTTTCTTCCTATACCACATGTTGAAGAAAAAAACTTGATTTGTAAAGTAAACATTTATTTTGCGTTTTTCTACTTTTAATCGTTCGTGCGGCTCAGATTTCTCCGCCAATTTGCACGCTACAAAGCTTGGGAAGGTCTTAAAATGAAGCGACGACTTCGCGCTACAATGTGGCATGGCTGAATGTTTTATTTTCAGTTTAATTTTTGTGAAAAATAAAATTTGCTGAAAAGTAAGCCCTAATTTTTTCAACTTTTTTAAAAACAGCTTTCGGAAAAAGTAAATCGAAAAACATTAAAAGATCCGGCCTTATTACGTGTGGAGTGACAAGCCTTGGCTACATTTTAAGATCCACCCGAGCTTTCTCGCATGTAAAATGGCGGAGAAATCTGGGCCACACGGACGGCTACTTTTTGACAGTTAATTTCAAGATAACTCTGGGAAAACTTAATACATCGAGCTCAAATTTTGTGTGATATATCAAACACAAGGGACATATTCTATGAAAATTTTATACAAATATAGATTTTTGAAAGGAGGAGAAGAGCCTTAAACACAAAGCGCGTGCACTTTACATATATTGTCTACGTATCAGAAAAGCAACGTGTGGTTCAATATATGTGTGTATGGAAAAGTAGAAAATAAAAACAGACGATCTATGTGAAAAGCGATTAGATCAAGTATATTTCAGTCCGAGCAATAAAAGATTAACCTCCTGTTTGTCAATCGAGATATCAATTGGACTATAATTTGTAAAAAAAACGTTTTGTTTGAAAAAATAGCCGGGTGCTTGACAGACTTTTAATCAAACATAACAGAATCCGATGTAGTTTTTCAAGCTCACTAAAGCACCATAGCACATTTCAGGATGAGTAGCGAACGTGAAACGAAATTCCGGATTTAGTAGTTTTCTACTTTTTCTCATAATGCCGTCGTTTTTACGACAAAATTGTGTCTTATATCTCGATCAGGGTATTATTTTTTTTCCATATCGTGCGTGATCGGAACATAGTAAGTGTCCCCTTACTGACATTATTTATTTCGAATAAAAACATTTATCATAAGATAAAATCGGCAACCATAAGCACGTTTGATCGCCAAAACTGCGAAAACAGTTTTCGGCGGCCTCGTATGTTGACCATAAAAGATATTTTCAGAAAATACGAATAAACACGACCAGATCAGTTTGAAAAAATAATTTCTTAAAAAAATTACTTTGTGCTTGGAGAAAAGTTGCACATATCGATTATTGCCTATATAACATGTCTGATCACAGTAAACATCGAAAAACATTCTTTTTCTTATTCCTAAGTGTAGAATTCAGTTCTCTATTTATTTTACATATCAACTGGCCAAACGGATTATTCATTAAAAAAATAATTCTTGTTGTTGATTTTTGGATGACTATATATATCATTTCTAACTTCTGCTCTGCCAAAGCACGAGAAATATAACGCATAAAGATCTGAAATGTTTAGGTTTTACTCAATCTATCTTACTCTACAACAAATGAAAATAATCAACCAGATTTACAATATCTTTCCAATCAGTTTGTTCTACTATCTTAGAAATTCACTTTTAAAGTCTTTTCAGCTTAAGCTTTAGAACAGACAATTAACATCTCGATATTTTATCTGATGAGCTAAATTGTCAGATTAGTGTTTAGCCTTCTGTTCTGGTTTCAATAGGTCAATGGATGAAATCTTTCGATCAACGTAATACAAACACAGCCAATACATTTTATGCTGATGATGGTACAAAAATACCAAATTTCACTTTGATGTATACAGAAGATACCTATCTTTATTACGATGCTACGACTGAATTGAATGCTAGAATCCTAAACATTCCGTACAAAAGTTATGGAAATAGTAAATTTGTCTTTACTGTCATTCTGCCAAATGACAATGTAAAACTCTCGGATGTTGAATCAAAATTATATGAACTCAACCAAATGAAAAGAATCTACAAGAAACTTCGACATACTTATAACATTAAATTATGGTTACCAAAATTTAAAATCGAATATGAATCCGATTTAGTTACTATATTAGAAAAGTTAGGCGTTCATGATGCATTCAGTGATAAAGCAGATTTTAGTGGCATAAATGATGAAAAAAATTTAAACATAAATAAAATCAAACATAAAGCTTTTGTTGAAGTTAATGAACTAGGAACTGAAGCAGCAGCGGCAACTGCAGGTAGGTTACAGTTAAGTTTATCATTTTTTTTCGATAAGATGAAAGTTATCCAGCAGAAAAAAGATGGACAATAAACGACGCATTAAAAGCTAATTTACCGTCTGCCTAAAAACAGCTAGTTAACTGCCTAAAAATCACCTAAAAGCCGTCTAAAAGCAATGAATAAATCATCAAGCGAAAAAATAGCCAGTTAACAATCTAGAAACGGTTGACTTAATCATTCCGTTAACTAGATGCTTTCTGGCGCACCCAGTTATCAGTCGTTTTTGGACGGTTCGAGAGATTTAATTTCGAAAATCTAAAAATGGCCAATAAATCAGAAGATTTTTAGGCAGTTTTTTGCGATAGTTTTTGGCCGTTGGCTTCCTATATTTTGATTTTTAAAAGAAATAGCCATTTAACAGGCTGTAAAGATATGAATGGTGCAGGTGAAATTTTGAGGTTCTCATACGTTTTGAAGAACCGAAAATCACTCTCAATGTGAGAAAATGATTCAGTGCCGAAATCTTTCCTTGAAAAATCATTCAGAGGGATTTTAAAGTAGGAAACACCTTTCAACGAGCCGAGATTTTTGATTTTAAAACTTTGAATTCGATAAACTAACTTATGTTCGTTTCTGAGAAATCTATTTTTCTATTGCTTCAAATGGTTCGATTGCAAAAGACTTAAAAACTCGCCAAATGACTTTATCAACATAGAGAGATCTGAGAATAGTTCATTCGAAAAGAGCATAATCGAAAACATGAAGAAAAAAGCCTTTTGTTTAAGGCGCTAGAAAATTTTCAAAAAAACTGAATAATAAAATTCTTATTTGTGCCTTCTTTCTCTGTAATTCTTATCTTTGAAGAAGTAAGATGCACGCAAAGCAAACTTCGAGTGAAATTTGTTTTGTGCTTTATTATACATATTCTGAATCGCCAGGTCGAGCTGATCACGAATATCACCTTCCCAGCTCGAAAAAGTGAAATTTATATG